TAAGATTGCTCCTTTAAGATTGCAAACAGATGAACTAAAATGTAGGAGAGGATAGGTAAGGGTGTACAGAAGCACCCAGGAATAGTTTCTCTTAGAATACGGATAGATTTATTAACCAGGTTTATTAACCTGGATTAAAAAAAGTGCTGCCCAAAGGAACGACAGGGATCACAACATTTGGGGGTTGTCAGGTATACTTCCTGACCCTGGGAAGTAAATTTTAACTCAGTAGCAACAAATCTGGGGATCTGTGGGTCCAAAAGCAGCTGGTTAACTTAACATAATGCTTGTTTAGAGCCGTAAAGTCTGCTTTGAAATGAATCTTACTGTCTTCTAGACTAGACTATTGCTCTGGGACTAGAATTTTTTTTAAAATCTACTGTCAATGTCTTCATTTACAAAGAACTAATCAACTTTAAGTGTGGAGGGGGGAGGGAGAAATGTCAGGATCTAGTCAAATATTATTGATACCCATATTGAACTTTATAATGACTTCTATAAAATTTAGTATTTCTGAATGCATTTTTCACAGCTAATGTGGTGTCTAGTGTATTGCTAAAGGACTAGAATTTTTTTAAAAATCTGTCAATGCATTCATTTACAAGGAACTAATCAACGTTAAGTGTGGAGGGGGGAGGGAGAAATGTCAGGATCTAGTCAAATATTATTGATACCCATATTGAACTTTATAATGACTTCTATAAAATTTAGTATTTCTGAATGCATTTTTCACAGCTAATGTGGTGTCTAGTGTATTGCTAATCACAAACACTAACAGAACTTTCTTCTTACCTCACCCCCATCCCACAGATACAACGCAAAAGAATATTACGAGACACTTCCAGAGCTGAAGCTGGCCATTGATCAAATTGACAATGGCTTCTATTCTCCCAAGCAGCCTGACCTCTTCAAAGATGTAATCAACATGCTATTTTATCATGACAGGTGAGTTCCCCCAAGAAGGTGGTGTTATTTCAGCCGTGACAAGGGAGCAAGAACATCATAAACCAACTACAACCCAACTATGTAGATTAGCATAGATCTGTGATCTGACAAGCTAACCTAGGCTTGGAAAGAGAAATTAAAGATTCTCCACTGGCGATGCTAGGAAGCTTTAAGGATAAGACCCGCAAATCTGGTGTTCTTTTTCTCCTTCCACTGGTGGACACAGCTTTCAGATGCATCTGTATGATGACATTCTTCCCTGTGGGGAGGACTGTAGAAAGGTTGAGGGCTGTTTAAAGTTCTTGTGAATGGAAATGTGAGTTCAGTAAAGCGGCCATGAAACAAAAGAGAATTTTAAATGGAATCTTAACACATCTATTAATGAAGCTCTTTGTTGTTTTGATTTTTCCTCCCAATCACACAAAAAACAACAACACAGGTTTAAAGTGTTTGCAGACTATGAAGCGTATGTCCGTAGAAAGGTTGAGGGCTGTTCAAAGTTCTTGTGAATGGAAATGTGAGTTTGGTAAAGCGGCCATTAAAACAAAAGAGAATTTTAAATGGAATCTTAACACATCTATTAATGAAGCTTTTTGTTGTTTTGATTTTTCCTCCCAATCACACAAAAAACAACAACACAGGTTTAAAGTGTTTGCAGACTATGAAGCGTATGTCAAGTGTCAAGAAAAAGTCAGCCAGCTGTACATGGTGAGTACACAGCTGAGACGTATAAAGTAAACCAGCTTACTATGGTTAATTTAAAATTCTGTTTCTTTTTATTAAGTCTAAATAACAGGGCCCCACTGACGAATCAAAAAAGGGAAGTGAGACAACTGTCTAGGTTGTTCAGATCAAAACTCGACTTTTCCCACGTTTTAGGCAGAGGTTGACTCGACATTTCCATAGCAGTTGTAAATGTTTTAATGTCCAAGTAAAAAAATCACAAATTATTTTATATTTATTGAGCACCCACCATGTAGCAGGCATGTCCTGGAAAGTAAAGGTATAAATCCAAATTGAATACTCGTTTTACCCACTCACTTATTCAACAGAGAGGCATGGGGGCCTTCCCATGGCAGGCACTGTGCTGGGCACGGACAGTCACTTTCTTCTTACCACACCCTTCCAGGAGCCTGTTCAGTGCACATCAGAATCACCAGGGCAGCTTGTTAAAGTACAGATGCCAGTCTCCCTGGGAGAGAGTCTGACCCAGTAGTGGGTGGGATCACCATCAGTATTTGGAAAACCTGCTTAAATGATTCTAATGCTGAGCTTTAGTTTATTGGGATAAAGACTGACCCCCTTTTTCTTTTAAAATTGAAAAGAAATTGAAGGTTTTATGTTTGATTTTTTTTTAAGAAAGGAAAGGAACAAGAAAGACTGTACTTAAAAAAATAAAAGGCAGGTGGGAGGAGGAGAAAGGAGGAAAAGGAAAGGCCGGAGCCATGCACATCTTTATCAAGCAGCCCAGCCCTCTGGGTTCATTAGTAGACACAAGGAAAGGTTCATCATCTCTGATACAATCGACTTTTAGTGAATTGCAGACACCACAGAAGAACAGATACCGAAAGAGGCTGGCTCTCTGCCAAGACTCCAGGATGGGTCTCTTGGGGTCGATGTCCTTGAGCCTTCTGGTGGCCCTTGCCCCCTTAGTCTTTATTGTTGCCCTCCACCTTGAAAACCATTGTGCAGTAGACGAGTCAAGAGCCATAAAGTCACCACCTCCTGCCTTTGTATTCATCAGTAACTACTTCCAGCAGAAACATATTTCACTAACATTTCTTTCCATTCCTTTCCCAAAGCAGGTAACAGGGTGGTTCCTACAGTCATCCCGAGTATCCCACTGGGTTTTAAAGTAGGCTCATTCAAGGCTCATGCTGCTTCACAACCCCTAGCTTCTGTAGAGTCCTATCCAGTCCCCCAAAAGTGTACAGACCAGAGTAAATTCCAGTTCATGGCCATAAGCAAGGAAGGGCAGTAAACTGAGTTAAACTTTAGTGGCCTACTCCCTGCTTCCTGAACACTGGAAAGAGCAGCCTCAAAGACAGAGAAAGGAAAATGGCCACCTCTCCCTCTTTCCTCTTGATTGCAACCCATGCTTGTCTATAGAAAGGCTGCAGAGGGAAGAAATAAAAATAACACAGGAACAAGAAAGGGAAATCTGGCCAAGGGCAAGCACAAACGTGAATGTCGAACTTGCACAATGGGCCTCTTCTGTGAAAATGATGGCCCCCATCCAAAGGATGCTCATCTAGAAGCCAAGTATTTGGGACAGTCTTTCTTGTTCATTAGTGCAAATTGCAGTTTTTACTCTTAACAATAATTGTATTGTTGAGGCTTAATGACGAGACTTCCCATCCATGTGAGTTTGTTTTCTAAGCCTCAACAATACAAAGAAAGTGAAGAGATGAGGCTTTTATTCTTTTATTTTAGTAAGTTTCCAGAGTCTGAACAAACTAATTTCAGACTCTTCTCCACAGTACCTTAAGGAATGATGGTAGTTTTAGATTTTTTTAATGCTTATAATGCATTGCTATTGGTTTTAAATAATGTTCTGGTAATTAACAATGAACTGTTAGAGTTCTTTACAAAATCATGAGGTTATTAAATACTTTCTTATAATCTTATTGATATTAAAAGGAATGAGATTTGGATGTTACATATTTTATTAAGGATAAACCCTAATTAATCATGTTTTGAAATCCCAACGGGATTCAGTATAAACCTACTGGGACATCTACCTTCAGAAAAAAGTAGGTCAATAAAGTCTCTCAGTGGATCATTAGCATTCTAGCATAGTGTTTTCCAAACTTTGTGAGCCACAGGTTAAATCTCTTGACTTGGTTTCTAGCAGATAGTGAATATTAGTGTTCTTTTCATCTGTAGTTTAAAGGAAGGTATCCTCATTTGAAGCAAAGCATGGAAAATATGATTTCCATGCAAAAACATCGTAACTATAGCAAAAATTATCAATTAGGTAATTTACATCCCTGGTTTCTCTGAAAATGAAAAATATATATTTTTCATTCTTAAGAGAAATATATACTCTAAATAGGAGAAGAGCTCAGTCTGCTCTATTTAGCTCTCAACTTAAGACATAGGTATTTATAATTCACTACAATTTACTCCTTTCGTTTTCTCCATGAAATGTGCTTCGATATGCTTGGCCTGATGTTTGTCCTAAAGCTCAATGAGTAGTGAGGCCCTGGGCCTCATATATCTGTGTTGTTTACAGAATCCAAAGGCCTGGAACGCGATGGTACTCAAAAATATAGCTGCCTCGGGGAAATTCTCCAGTGACCGCACAATTAAGGAATACGCCAAGGACATCTGGAACATGGAGCCTTCAGATATAAAGATTTCCCTATCCAATGAATCTAGCAATGGGGTGTACAAAGCCAGTGGAAAGTAAGTTGTAAAATGTCTCTAGAAAAAAAATAGTTTCTTATTGGACTTGAACCTTTTTGCAACATTCTTTGATTTTGTTTTGTTTTGTTAGCTAACAATCCAGTTAAGTATCTCTGGGGATTGGGCAGGGAAAGTGTATAACTGTATTGGAGCTAAAAATAAAGTATGAATTTCCAGAGCTACCTGAGTCTCAAAAGGTATTATTTTATAACAAATTGAGTAGCATGCGAGGACCTTCCCCTAGAAAAAAATGCGTGGAACGTTTTAATGCCATTTAAATGAACTAAAACACAAATTATTTAACTACATTGGAGCACTTTTCTTACACTGCTATCTAAGTCCAAACCAAAGACTATACCTGATTCACAAATAGCCCAGGGTGTTTGGCAACTGCACATTTTTATATGGGATCCAGTTTTTACCAAATTCTGATTCTCTGCAGAGATGTCTCAACATGTTCCATGAACTAAATGAGAGCATCCCATACCACCCAGCACCCATGCTTGTAGCTGGCAAGTGGCTTGCAGACATGCCAATGACTTTAGCTCATCCAAGCATCCTGGTACAGTTTTACACAAACAATACACATCACAGGTGGTACACCCATGCTTTGTAGCTGGCAAGTGACTTGCAGACATGCCAACGACTTTAGGTACAGTTTTACACAAACAATACACATCACAGGTGGTGTTTGGACCAAGTCTTCGCTGGAGGTTTCTGCTGCTCTCAGACCTCATGCCCACTGCTGGCTCAGGAAATCTCTGCAGAAAAAGGACCTAGATCAGATCACACGCTTTCCCCACCTCGAGGTCCACGTAAGCCAGATCAGCCCTAATTGCCTTTAAGGGAAGAAAATCACATTTAGCAAAGCTACTCTTACCTCACAGTTTTTAACAGTGTGGGGCTTCTACAAAGCAGGTTGTGTTGGAAGCCAGGAGGAAAGATCACCATCTTGACCCTGTCTTTGTTCCTGTATGCATTGTGTGCAATTTCATAGAGCTGCAAGGGCACAGAAAGACAGAGACTCAAAGGCTGACCATCAGTGCTGTTGTTTTTCTAGGCTGACTGTCTTACAGCAGTACAGAAACAGCCAGCTTGAGGAGTTAGTCCCATTAGGTCAGAGACATGGAGACTCTCCACATTCCCAACTGGCTGCCTCTACAGCTAAAGGACTGAAAGCTGCATGACTAATAGGGAATGCTGACAGGACATCCTTCCACTGTCCATACCTCCCTGCAAGGGGACAAGGGATTGTGATGGACGCACTTTGTTTGGTTAAAAGAAAAGAAACTGCCTCCCCCTTTTTAGAGCCACTACAGGAAAGATACAGCAGTTCCTATAGTATCCTGGGTCCCCACAACACTTCCCGGTTCACCGACCCCAAATGAGGAGCCAGGGTCCACCACAAATGCTCCTTGGAGCTGATTAGCATGGATGCTTACTGTATACACCAGGCAGCATGGCTATTTAGGGGTGTAGGGAATCCCTTAGAATGTCAGAGACCCTCCTTTGGGCTCTCATCAAAGTTTGACTGGAAGAGAAGATGGTGAAATAAGAACAGTATGTCTCAGTCAGGCCTCTGTTCATGGTTTACCTGTTTTCCATTCGCCAAAGGCACTGTTCTGTCATCCTCGCCGTGAAGGATGAGGAGGGGGGAAGACAGGAATTTTACACTAGGAACAGGTAGAAGAAAAGCATTCAGTTCAAGAATTAACGCTGGGATTTCTCCTCCTCCTCCAAGTTAAAGCTTTACCAAAACATGAGGTTTGCCCAAAATACAAGAACTCTCTTTCCTTCCCTCCCAGGCATAACAGCTTCATATATAACAAACTCCACACAGTAACTTATTTTTCTTCTGGGTAATACTCTCTTTCTCCTATGCACTCATGTAGTTTAATTAGGTATCTAATTAATTTAATCTACTTCCATGTGATTTTCTTTTAAAATAATGAAGAACACTGAAGTATTGAATTTGTACAGAATTAGAAGAACCTTATCTTTTTCCTTACTCCACCTAATAGCATAATACTTGGAATATTATAATTAAAAGAGCCCTGGCCAGTATGGCTCATCCCATGCACCAAAAGGTCACCTGCTTGACTCCCAATCAAGGCACATACCCAAGTTTCAAGTTCAATCCCCAGTCAAGGTGCATACATTGAGAAAACCAATTGATGTTTCTCTCTCTCTCCCTCTCTCTTCCCCTCCCTCTCTAAAAAAAGCAATAAAAACTTTTTTTTTAAATAAAAGACTCTAAAAGAAAAAGAAAAACCCTAAAATAACAAGAACTTCCACAGGACAAAATATAACTCTTTGTGGCAATTTATTTTTCCCCATAAATGTACAGGGTGAACATGTAATTAATGGGTTTGATTAGCTTCCTGGTCAACTTCCTACTTTGGAGGAAGCCTTTCAAAAAGGCTGTGGCATGAAGAATGTTCGTTCCTGACTCCAATGACATTCTCAAACAATACTTCCCTCCCCCACCCCCTTCTGATACCCATCCATCCCTGCCACAGTGACTTGCTGTTACTCCTGAGGATGTTAGATCCCTCAAGTGTGTTGAAATATAAAAATATTGATAACAACTATGTATTTGCAGGTGCTCAAATTCTCCTACTACAAGAGGGCAACTTGCCAAATTCTATTCATTGGTTTTGCTGTCAGGTTAGTAGGCTGGATAGCAGATAGGTTTTAGTTACGTGCGGAATAAGGCCTAAAGTCAGGGACCCCTAAATCTACAGCTCCCTTTATGACTTCAGAGAAAATATTGAATCTGTAAAGTCATCAAATTAGTCATAAGGAAAATGCCAAATACTAAAAACTTGTAGATACATTACCCTAAATCCTAGTGCCCACCTACAAATTCTCATCTAGTCTTTCAGACTTCTCATCTACCCATCCAGTAAGTCACATGATAGTCACCACCCCTCCCCCGCAAGAATCCTACAGGCATAGTAATAGAACAATGGACATTTTTAATCATTAGCTTACTTTTCATCATTAGGGAAGACTATTTTGTCTTTTCTCAAAGCATCCATAAGTGTTTGTAAAAATCCTGGAAGTTTCTGGTAAATCTATTTTTTAAAAGGAAAAAAACAATTAAAACTTTGCCTGCAGCTATATAATTTGTAGTTTTCCACCATGAATGATGGTAATAGAGAGTAACTTTCTAAATATAATAAACTTGAAAAAAAGCAAAATTTTTATGATTGTAAAAGTAATTCATAGCATTGTAGGGAATTTGGAAAATACAAAAGGAAACAAGAAACAAATCACACATAATCCCACCATCCATAGACCATCACTGTCCTCTCTTTAAAATACAAACAGCACTATTAACTTATTTCTTCATATTCTGAAAGGAGCAGTGATACTCATAATCTAAAAATTGCTTCAACAGTGAATATAACTAATTGGTTTAGTTGGGGAACAGAATATTCTGATTAGTCAAAAAATCCTGTTGAAAGTACACAATACATATAACTAGTTTTAAAGAATTTGAACTGCTGAATTAATACTGCAGTTGTTTTAAAAGGCATTTTAGGTTTTAACAATGACCACCGGACTGCAAATATAACAATTGCATTCTAAACATACTGAATTTCCTTTTTAATGGCAAATTCCAGTGAATTGAATTCTAGTTAAATCGGCTTTATCATATTTTGAGGAGGTAAATTGGTTTATATGCCTAAAAGCATTCATTTCAACTAAAAATGAAGATGGGACAAAAACCCTGAGCAACATTACCCCTTCCTCACCAACTTCAATTCTACCTCCAAGCTACATCCCAGATACATTCATTTCTCTCCATTCCCCTGTCACCCAGCCTAACACACCTTTCATCTCTTGCTTGAATTACACCAACAACTGCAAGTGACCCGCTGCGTCCACCCTCCCCGAGCTGTAATCCATGTCCCACGGGGAAACCAGTGATCGCTTCAACAACGTGCCAATCACATCCTGTCACTCTTTTGCTTCACACCCTCCAAAGGCACTTGGATTTCACCCAGTGTCACTTTGGCCTTTGAGGCCTGACACCATCCGGCTGCTGCCTCTACCCACTGCCTCATCTATCACTACGCCCTCCCTCTCCAGGTCCGGCCCAGCCGCCTTCTGTTCCTGGAACAGCCTTGATCCCACCTCAGGGCCCTTGTCCTTGCTTTTCCCTCAGTCCACGTCCTCCACATTTTCCTGTGAAAGCTGGCTCCTAGTCATGCAAGTCTCAGCTCAGATGATGTTTTTCAGAGCCGTTTTCCCTAACAGCTATGGAACCTTGACCTCCCACCACCCAGCCATTCTCTATCACAGGGGTCCTCAAACTACGGCCCACGGGCCACATGCAAATACAAATATTGTATTTGTTCCTGTTTTGGTTTTTTTACTTCAAAATAAGATGTGTGCAGTGTGCATAGGAATTTGTTCATAGTTTTTTTTTTAAACTATAGTCCGGACCTCCAACAGTCTGAGGGACAGTGAACTGGCCCCCTGTTTAAAAAGTTTGAGGACCCCTGCCCTATCACATACATTAAATAACTTGCATAGCACTTCTCACTATTGAAAATCCTCGTGTTGTGTACTAGTACTAGTACTTGTCTTCCGTCTCTCAAGAAAGTATGTAAACTTCATAGGAGGACGAACCACAGCTTTCTTATTCTCTACGGTATTTCTAGAACCTAGAAAACGTCCTGGTACCTAATAAGTATTTGCAAAACATGGAATGAGTCCATTATGTAAATATCCCTGGCATACACTTTAAGCCAGTGGTTCTCAACCTGTGGGTCATGACCATCGGAAAACACATATAGCATATCAGATATTTACATGACGATTCATAACAGTAGCAAAATTACAGTTATGAAGTAGCAACAAAAATAATTTTATGGTTGGGGGTCACCACAACATGAGGAACTGTATTAAAGGGTCGCGGCATTAGGAAGGTTGAACCTAAGCTATCATCAGTCCTTTTCTACTTACTGTGAGTGAATTTCACTCAGATTTTATTCCTTAGAGTAGAGGGGAGAGGGAAGGGGGTTGCAATGTAATAAATGGGATGTTGCCTAGGGAAGGAAATAGGGACAGAACTGCTAGGCTGTGGCCAGTAAATACGAACTTCAGCTTCACGATTTTAAAAATAAAAGAATGATGTTCGCCGTAGAAGCCATTTTTAGATTATGCATATCACTGCTCCTTGGAGTACAGAGAAATTAGAGTTAGCTGCTATCAAATGTAACTTGGTATAGTCTCCCACTATGAGCTATTGTAACATAGAGAATAGTAACTTTCTAAATATAATAAACTTAAAAAAAAAACTTTTTTCTGGTTTTAAAAAGTAAGTCATGCCATTGGGTAAATTGTCAGGAACGTGGGTAAATTGTGGGGAATTTGGTAGGAAATGGGTACAGAATCTGCAGTGAAGACAAAATGTCTGCTGCCGGTGTTGGCCTCAGGAACCTCCCTGGTTTCGTGGGTTTGTCTGGCCGGCATTTTTTGCCTGGTCCCAGAGCAAATGATTTGCATTCAGGTGCCGTCTGCAGATCCCAACACTGTCTCTCCTTCCCTTTCTTCCTGTCCCGGCCTTTCACCCATACGAAGGGCAAGATTTCTTGTTTTGTTTACTTTTTTCTTTGTCTTCTGATTCCACCACCCCTGGAATCAGGACTCCTCTGAGGGAAATTCAATAAGAGAAGCCCTTCAGCAATTCATCTCAAATTCCAAAGGAGTGAGAAGAAAGCTGGTCCAAGCCAATAATCTACTTTGTTATTCCTCACTCCTCCCAGCCCAGGTGCCCTTTGAGACTCAGAGGTCATAGCATCCCCTCCAGCCCAGAGCACAGCCGTGGGTTCCTAATTGGGTCTCCCTGCCTCCTCTCTGTTCTGGAATACCACCAGATAAATATTCTTAAAATACCAGATACATGAAAGGATAAACTCATGTATAAAATTACATTATTAGATGTATGTTCCTAATAATATAACCTCAAAAAAACTAAAGCAAAAATTGACAGAACTAAAATAGAAATAAACAACTCCAAAATAATGGTGAGATATTTTAATATTCTTCCTTGAGCAACTGATAAAATAGTCAAAAAAATCAGTAAGGATATAGAAGGATCAAATGACACAATTAATAGACTAATTGACACATTAGAACAGCATACCCCAAACAACAGAACACATTCTTTTTAAGCATATGGAACATTTACCAAAATCGACCATTTGTTGGGACATAAAGCAACTCTGAGCAGATTCCAAAAGCTAAAATCATAGAGAGTATACAGGGTTAGGCAAAAGTAGGTTTACTGTTGTTGGTATGGAAAATAATACAATACTTAACTTAATTTTGAGAAATTGACAAGTATATTCCAAAATATATGTGGAAATGCAAAAGGTCAAAATGGTCTTGAATAAGAGGAACAAAGCTGAAGAAGTTCACAAGATATCAAGACATATTATAAAGCTACAGTCACTAAAAGATTGTAGTATTCATATGAGCATGGACAATAGACATGGGAGAAATATGAGAACCTCCAACAGACCCATGTATACATATATGTAGAGAGAGACACTGGCATATACAGACATTGGCACTGCAGAGTGATGGGGAAGGTCCATTCAGTGAATGGCACTGGGCCAACTGGAAAGCTGTAAGTACTTATACATCCTACATATGCGAAAATACATACCTGGGATATGGCTCTAAATGTAAAAGACATAACAATTTCGAGAAGATCGCACAGAAGCGTATCTTCATAACTTTGGGTAAGCAGAGTTTATTAAGCAGGACACTTTTATTCAAAAAGTATTAACCATTAGAAAATGTTGGTAAACTGATTCACATGAAATATAGGAACATCTCTTCATTATGAGATGCCATTGAGGAAGTAAAAAAGCAAAACAAGTATTTTTTTAAAGCAAAAAATAATATATTTGAAAAACAAATAATTTTAATGACTTACCCTATGACGAACTTCTACAAATGAAAAGACAACTCAATTTAAAAAGGAGCAAAAGACATGAACAAGTATATCACAAGAGATGATATCTAAGTGGCTAATAAACATATGGAAAAATGCCTGGCTTCATTAGTCATCAAATGCAAATTAAAACCACAATGAGATATCAGTATGAGGGCAAGGATATGATGCAATTGAACTCTCGTGTACGGTAAGTGGAGAGTAAAATGGCAAAGTCACCTTGGAAAGCTGCTTGGCACTATAACTACTAAAGCTGAGCATATGCAGTCCTTGTTATCCAGCAATTCCACTCCCAATGTATACTCCATTGAAATATGCACACAAATTTAGAGAATACATGTTCAAGAATACTTATAACAATGATGTTATTAATTATCCCACATAAAAATCAACTCAGATGTCTACAAACACTAGATCAATAAATTGTACTATATTTATACAATGAAATACTACATAACAATGAAAGTGATCAATTACAGCTATACTTCATGGATAAAATCCTACTAATACATGTTGGGTGAAAAACAGAATACTTGTAAAATATGTAATGTTTAAAAATAAACCATGCTATACTGCTTAGAGATGCACACACAGGTGGTAACACTATAAAGAAAAAATATGTGGCCGTCACTCATAGGATGGAAAATGATGGATATGACTACTATAAAGTTCAGGCTAAGGATTACAGCTAAAATGGGATTTATTAGATTAGAAAGTAACATACAGATGAGACTTCTAGTGATGCTAATTTCTTGACTTGCGTGTTGGTTAGTTTTTTTTATTGATTTTTAGAGAGAAGAAGGGAGGGAGAGAGCAACATCAATGTGAGAGAGAAACATCAATCTGTTGCCTTCTCAATGTGCCCCGATTGGGATGGAACTGGAAACCTGAGCATGTGCCCTGACGGGGAATCGAGGACACTCCAACCAACTGAGCCACCCCAGCTAGGGCAATGTGGGTTACATTTTGACTCAGGTGTTCAGTCTATAATTATTTGCTACATCATGTATTTTCTCTATTATGTTAACTTTCAAAATTATAAAATTTCAAAAAAGAAACAAAAGTAAGTGGGAAGACTGTATCTGAATTGCAAAATACCTACAAGTTAGTGAGTTTGTTAGTAATTACTTAGAGTAATGTAATAGATGATCAAGTAATGCTTATCTTAAGATGAATATTCAGTCATCTGGAACCAATTGAAATGTTATATTTGTTAAATCTTAAATTACTCAGCATTCAGTATCTTAGATTGTAGAGCAAGCATGTCAAACTTGCAGCCCATATATATTTTTGTGGCCCAGCCAATACAATGGTATGCAAGAAACATTTTAATAAAAACTTCGTAACTTAATTTTTACAATATCCTGTTATACATAATTATTAATAACGAACTACAACATTCGCTAATGACTGATTACTATAATCGTGTTGCATTCATTTCCCTTACGCGCCTTACGCGCAGGCGCACCACTTCTCTCCACTAATACAAGCAGCGAATATTTTAACGGCCGATGGCATGTCATTAGTCTTAGATTGACTTGTTTGGTGTGTGCAACAGGAAATATTTCACTTTTGGAGAACAAGAAAAAATAGGTTTATTTGCATTATGCTTATTAATTTGTGCAGTTATTCAGTGTCTGGTAAGTTAATGCTCAAGAAAAAATATTAATTTTTATTAAAGTGTTCTATTATTTTATGTTAACGATTACTCATTTATTTCAGCCCTTTGTATTCAGCATGTCTCTGTGGAAATAAACCTACGTTTCTATGAAAATTGAAGCTTTGTTTTTTTGCGGCCCACATAAACTTAAACCTTGTTTATTTGGCCCGTATTAGCCTTTGAGTTTGACATGCTTGTTGTAGAGGAGATTCCTGTATTGGGTTGAAGCTTAGACATTTTCAAGATTCTGTGAAAGAGCTATCCCAGAAGTAATGCGCTGCCCTTCTCTGCAACAGTTAAGCAAATTCCAAGACGTTCTAAGATGATTTATTGTACAAAAGATTCCAAAAGTAGACAGTTGGAGAAAAGTGCACCTACATTGCCTTCCAATATTAGACAACAATTTAAATTGTGGGGCCATGTATTCCTTCTGAGAATCTCTCCTATTTTCTTTCTCTCTCTCTCTCTCCACCTCCCCCCCACCTTCTTATCTTCCTCCCTCTCACTCATTTGCTAACATTTATATGGATGTATGACTATAAGCAATTGAGCATTGGGCTTGAAATAAAATTACAAAATTTGGATAAACTGCACAATAGATTTAAAAAACTACATCTTGTTGCCCAATTCCTTATATCTTATCTTCTTGGAAAGATTGTCTCCTCTACATGGGATACTGTATAAAATCATTTGGCAGCTTCCTTGGATTCTCTGGAGGCTGTCTTATCATAAAATTATGAAAGATATATGGCTGATGGTCATAGGACTAAAAATGATGTATGGGATGTTTGGTTTCACTTTTTAAAAGAATAATAATAAACAGATAAGCCTAACTTATCTACTAAAAATTGTAAAAGATAAGAAATAAAACTTTGGCTTTTAATAAGCTACTCAATCTATTAGAAGAAAATAAAAGGACTACCAAATCCAAAAGCCATCAATCATGCCCTTCTTTAATTGCAACTGGCTAATACCCTATCTCAAGTTAGAGTAACTTAGAGGCATATAAAACTAGTTAAGAAAAAGAATGTGGTTAATAAACATAAATGTGTGGAAACACTTTGACATCTTGTGAAGATGAATAAGAGACTCACCTTTAACAAGGGATAATTGATACTTGCAGTCCACATGTTGGTAAATGGAGCTTCCAGAACAATAGCATCAACTGGGGATCCTTGAAAATATAAAAAAGAAATAACTCCCCTATCATATTTAAATATCACCTTCCCTAAATAAGGGGGAGTTAAGGTCTTGTACATCATTTGTGAAGCTTACTAATAATGCAAATTCCTGGACCCCACTCCAGACTTATTGAGTCAGAAATCAGAATCTCAGAGGGGGGGCGGGGCGGGATGTGAGAATGTGCATTTCTAACAAGCTCCCCCACTCACCAACCAAGAGATTTCCCTGCACATGGTAGTTGCAAACCAGTACCTCCTTCTAAAACAAAACCAGATTGTCAAGCCTTGGGTAATTTTAGAAAGCAAAGTACTCTGGGAAGGAAAACTGTTGAGCAGTCCATTGTTAAGAATGTGCCAGAGGCTGATTAGGTGGTTTTGGCCAACACTTTCCCGGAGAACAATTGGAAAATGTGTGTCAGATGAGGATATGTGCATGTGTATGTGTGTGTTTGAAGGCACCTGAGGGCTGCTAAATCAGTGAGATTTTGAAAGCCAAGACCAAAAGGAAATCTCAAGAACAGTCAGAGGAAAAAGCATTATCTTCAAAGGAGCAACAGTAAGACTGGCAGCTGACTTCCTAATAAAACAGTGAAACCTTGAACGAAGTGTTGGAATAAAATTATTGACAACCTAGAATTCTATGCCCAGTGAAAATATCCTTCAAAAATGAAGATGCAATAAAGACATCTTCAAATCAAAACTGAGAGAATTCATCACCAATAGACAGGCAGAACAAAAATCCCAGATAAAAACAGAGAAATGCTGAAACTAATAAGGAGCAAAGAAAAGTAAATCTAAACCTTGGCTTTTATAATATAAGAAGAATAGTGTTTTATGGAGTGTGTATAGAGAAAATTTAAAAACATGATAGGAAGAGTTCGTAAGTTGAGGAGGTAAATGGAATCAGAGTGTCCCAAGGTCACTGCATTATGTAGGAAGTGAAGTATTCATTTATGTGAGAATTTAATTCAGATACTGTAACAGTGTCCACACTGTGAAGGAAGTGACAGGGAGCCATGAGAGCTTAGAGGAGCATTAGCATAATGCTTAGTTTCTTTACATACGTAATTAAGCTTGTGAATAGCAGGTGAGTTGCTCTAAAAATGCTTACATAACTCCACCTGACCTGTATTGCCAAGTAAAGTTTAAGATATGATGCAAGAGATTACAAGCTTTTAATGCTTGTCAAAGTCACCTGGTCCTATTCACAGAGATTCCAATCATGAAAATAGATCCAGGAAACCTGTGTTTTAAAAAAAGCATCCCCTGAGATTCTGATACAGGCAGTTCTCAGTACACTTTTAGAAATGCTGACATAAATATTATATAAGAAGGGCTGCAGAAAGCAAGCCTTGCCTCTTATTCCATATGTATTATTTTCCTCTCCTGTGATCCAAATGACTCCATAATAACAGTTATTACACTTCACAATGAGCACTCTTTCAAAGGTAATTTTAAGTCTTCCCTTAGTATTTATTTTTAATTTCATCATCTTGAAAAACAGCTATTGTTTTATATTAGAGAGAAAAAGGAACGTTTGCTGCACTATCAGAAACTGCCTAAAGTTGGGGTGCTTTAGGTATCTCTGTGTTGGCAGTGTACCCAATAGTCTCGACTCTTTTCAGTTCCCCATCTCAAGCCAGGAAATTATACCACGTAATCATTTTACAGTACCTTTCTCTTCTAGTACTCTCGCAGCATTCGTTACAACTCTGAAAAGCAATGAAAATTAGTACATATGTGAAGCCGTGACTCAACAGTCAAGTAAATGATACAAAATGGGACACCCAGTGGGAGCATCTGATGAAAGCTCTGGAAGCTCTGGTTAGAAAATGCATAAACACAACATTTTGCACAGGGTTCCCAGGGATCCCACTGACTCTAAATTAAGAATCCTTTTCCTTAAAACTCTCAAGGAGAGCTCTGCGGTGGGCTTCAGGGTCACAGATAACTGTAGAGCTCCCGCGTTTTACAAACAGGGCAAGGCCTCCAGCCACACGTGGGAAGTGAGAGAAGCCAGAGAGTCTCTGTCCCCTAGATCAGCAGTCGCCAATGGTGGTCCGTGAGGTCCGAAAGGTTGGCGACTGCTGCCCTAGATCATTGCTTCTTTCAGGGCTCACTCCTGCCTGGAGCCCCAAGGACCCACCTAAGGACCCACCTGCAGACCCCACTTACCCTGTACCCAGAGAATGGCCCCAGAGGCACACGGGGGTGGTGCCACTTCTTGCCTTGGTCCACTCATAGACACAAATAGCGTCCGCAGTCAGTCCCTCCTCTGTGGGCTTACCCGTAGAGTCCCCGAACCCTGGCAGCAAGGAAAGGCAAACACAGTATCACCGCCTCCAAAGTGAGAATCATCGAAGGCCTCCTGCTTCTGGAAAAATCTGTGTACACTGTTCTTAACACATACCTCTGTAGTCAACAGACAAGACGTGAAAGCCACCATCGCTCAGCACCTAGATGACAAAGGAGCTGTTATCTTCAATTAGAAGATGCAAACAGAAAAGGTTTGACACTTCCATAAGCCTGGTTGTGACCGTTTAATAAATAGAGAAAAGATTTATTTTTGAAATCTGGTGTTTTGCTTCAATCTTGAGATGGCCAGACTCAATGGGAAGTAAGGAAAGCAGTGTGGCAGTGCTGGGTCCAACAGCCTGGATCCCAGTGTGGCTCTGCCACTTGCCAGCTCTGTGACCTTGGGCCACTTGCCAGCTCTGTGACCTTGGGCCACTTGCCAGCTCTGTGACCTTGGGCCACTTGCCAGTTCTGTGACCTTGGGCCACTTGCCACTTAACATTTAAATATGCAATAATATTATTCTGAAAAGTGAAAAACAATAGTAGCTGCCTTCAGGATTGTAGGAAGATTACATGAGATGACATATTAAAATATCTTGGTACATAGTAAATGTCCTTTTTAAGAATTCCCTTGAGAATAAGAACTCTACACAGAATTGTAGTAGAGGCAATCAAATAAGGGGGAGATCATTATATTAAATACTAGAGGCCCGATGCATGAAAATTCGTGCAAGAGTAGGCCTTCCTTTCCCTGGCTGCCGGCACCAGCTTCCCTCCGGCACCCGGGACCCGGGGTTCCCTTCTCCAGCCGCCGGCAGGCACCTGGGACCCGGGCAGCTTCCCTCCAGCCCTGGCTTCATCCAGAAGGACGTCCAGAATGACATCCGGAAGGATGTCTGGTCTAATTAGCATATTACCCTTTTATTACTATAGATAAACAGATAAAGAGTTAATATCAATCAAAGATAAAGAGATCATTGGATGATATCAAACCACTGCCAAGCCCCACAGACAAATGAGGAAAGAATATGAAAACATAACTTTGAATTACAAAGACAAAGGGAAGACAGAGAAAAGGACAAAATTTACTTTTAAAACTAAATCCTCACAACAGTCCCATAGGTAGGTATTTCCCCCATGTAACAGATAAAGAAGCTGGGCCTTGGAGAGTTTAAATAATCTGTTAATATTTGGTCACCCAAATATCTAGAGGCAGAACCAAGATTCACACCTGGGCCTGCACATGTCCAAATACCGTGCCTCCTCTCCCACGCGTAGATGTGGGTGGCTGAAACTCATTATGAACTTTTACATACAAATAGAACTAATAGCCCTAACTGGTTTGGCTCAATGGATAGAGCATGGGCCTGCGGTACATGGGACTGAAAGGTACCAGGTTTGATTCTGGTCAAGGGCACATGCCTGGGTTGCGGGTCCGATCCCCAGTAGGGAGCATGCAGGAGGCAGCTGGTCAATGACTATTTCTCATCATTAATGTTTCTATCTCTCTCTCCCTCTCCCTTCCTCTCTGAAATCAATAAAAATATATTTTAAAAAATAGAACTGATAAGGAGAAAATAAATGTAACTTTTCAATACCTATTTAAACTACATTCATTCAAAAAAAAGTTATCTAAGAAGCAGGGCAGTTAAGCATCCAGGGAAATAGAAATATCCGTGTATTGTTTGTGACACTGTAAATTGAAGGACCACTTGACAATACAACTCAAGAACAATAACAGCAACAGAATCTAAGAATTTATCTCTAGGAAAAAAATCCCAAAGAATAAACTTAATGTTTAAAGTTTTCTGTAGCAATTTTATTTCAAAGTAATCGCCTATCCAAATAAGTAAACGAAGAGCTCCGGAAGTGTGGTCAGGCCGGGGGAGGATGACTATGGCTGTGGTATCCAGAATCTGCCCGGGGGAAGAAGTGCTATCGTACCTTCCCACCCACCCCTGCCGCCACAAGGATGACTACACCTCCAACTCTTCTTTCTGTGCACACAGGGACCTACTACTCAGCTCTGCCACGAGTGGGAGGAGACATCAGCTCACCATCACCCCATGTGGGCAGTGCAAAGAAAGGGGTACAGGATGGAAAGCAAACCTAAAAACTAACAGGCATCACCACCCCAGGCAAAACTGTATCCAGCCCACCCTCCTCCGCCAGAGGAGCTCTGAGAAGGCAGTGGAGAGAGGAGCTTCCTGAATAAACGGGGGAGGGAGGATGAAGAAGGGGCTGGGGATTCTGGGCCCCACAATTACTGGTAAATCGAGAAAGAGTGGAGGTGGGAGCTGGCACGTGAGAGGAGAGATCAGGTCTTGTGGTCAGTAATTGGACAAGCTGCCTGGTCACCTGCGACAAAAATTACCCAACTGGCGTGTGGGAGAGGATCAACAGCCTGCCTGACCGGCTCTGAGTCAGAAGGCAGAGATGGTGAGTGCACAGCCTGCCATCTCCCTCACACCTGGAAATGCAGGGGCTGCCCCCTCAAATGGAAATCATGGAACAGGCGAGGACAGTCGAGTGTGGCCACCATCCACTGTGCAAAACCCTTATGGAGCTGAAGCCCGGGCCTGAATGACTTAAAAACAGACATTCTCTGTCTCTACCCTGTATCACCAAAAAGGTTGTTTCTTGTAGGCGTGACTTTCACACCTAATACAGGGTGTCCCAAAAAAGTATACACACTTTGAATGATTATTAATTCCAATGGGTTAAATCGGACAAGAAAGAAACATCAATGGAGCTATCAGCTGTAAAGTGTGTATACATTTTGGGGGACACCTGTATATTCTCTCAATCCACCCCCCAGCCCCCAGAAAAATCAAACATGTCATCAACTCCATCTGCTAATGAAGGCAATGCATTCACGAAAGCGTTTTGGGACTCAGAGATAGTCACATCTACTTTGACCCCCGCCTCCCCATGGTGAAGGCTGGAAGAAAAGTCCACTCACTCATGGGACTTTGGGCCCCAGACACCAAACCCACCCTGGGGAGCTCTCAGTCGATAACCTTGCCGAAGCTGAGGAAGATCTACGGCCCTAGCGCAGAAAAGAATACATGGAGACATAAAATGGGTGCCTTGGGGCCCCTTCAGACATACCTTTACGAGATTAAGCCTGTGACGAGCTGCCCTGTAGAAAAGGTTAAAAAAAAAAGAGCAAAATTTAGGAATTGGGAAGACAAATTCAATAAAAGTCGCTATCATGCTGCTGGCATCTGATCTCACACCTTTCTTCTTCGGGATAGAGAAATAAATAACAAGGAGAAAGGGGAACGGATGTGTCAGGGGGATGACTGACGGCCCCTCGCTGCTGCCGAGCTCCTCTGCATGAATGCTGGGTCCCAGATCTCCGCTCCTTGTCACAGCATTTGATGACTAAGCAGTAAATCCATCTCCTCACACTCCTACACAGCAAAACTTGTTTCTAAGGATACTTTCAGGAGCTAACGGAAAGTAAGTTCCAGAAAGTGGCTTTTTTAGAACAAAGGATGATATAGTCATGTTCACTACTCTAAGATCTGCCTGGTCCCTGTCCACTCAGCCACCAAGTGCCAGATGAAGCAAAGGAGAGGGACTCGCATCCCTGGAGGTACAAGAAACATTGGTTTCCAGAATAACCATACCATACGTGAAGGAAACAGAGACAAAGTTGACTCAAAAGGCAGAGACTTCTTTAAAATTTTTTCTTAGGGCCAAGTTCCATAAACTTTAGTGGGTCATGGAGCCCTTTGAACATGTGGTTAAAGCTATGGACTCATTTCCCACAGGGAAAACGGTATTTACACTTCAAATGTACAGTTTTGGGAGGGAGTTCACGGCCCTTCTTGGGCTTTTATGGATCCCAAGTCTAGAACCACTGTTTCCATCAAGGTCCCCCATAACCTCCGTTTGGCCCCCTTTCAGCTCAGTACTATTGATGGCAAGCTGAGACTTGCGGGCAGGGGCCAGGAGGAGGCTGGGGCTGACCCCTGAGCAAGTAAATCTGTGATGCCTGAAGCAATAGCAGATGCACCAGCGGGGCAGACAAGATTGTGGTCCGCCTGATCCTGTAAGTAGGTGCATTGTAACACCATGCGCAAGTCCGCACTATCAGAACCACGTTGAACCACGTTGGGAAATGTTAAATTCGCAGGCAATCTCTGTAAATGTGACTCTAAAATGGACACCTCGAGAAAGCCCTTGAGCAAAGGCAAGTCTTCAGAAGAGAGAGTGAGAAAAAGAGACCTAGGCAAGGGAGCCCAGGGACAGATTCCAGACCTTGTCACCTAGTTTGAAGTGTCCCTCCAGAGACAGAGCCAGGTCAGTGGGTCTGCGAGGCACACTGCCCCGCCCCCAAGCTGAGGAGGCCCAGTCACAGCTGATAAGCGTCACCCACCACAATTACAGGCCACCGATGGTTCTGGCAGCACATCGAAGGAGAGCCAGGCTTCTGGGAGGCGGTCTTTGTCACAAAATAAGGTTGGGACCACAGAGGGGAAGCTGAGGCATCAATATTCTAGGCCAGAATTCAGCACCCATGGTCAGAATTCCAGGTGATCGCTCCCAGGAAGTCCATACTGTTGATTAATAGGATTCATGCTATTTCTGTGAAAAGACCACTTCATGTATTTCTGTGAAAAGACCACTGATGTGGAAATTGCTCTTCCTACCTCCATATGTCAATGCCTATTCCCTTTCCAATCAACCATGGGGTCAATCCGTCATTGCAGACACTCCCAGGGAATAAAGGAACCACTGCGTTCCTGGAAACTAATATATCTAAATCTTGGAAGTTAGTGTCCCTCTCAGCTAAGGATCCACATTATTCTACATATAGAACATATGGATTTTGTTGTTAAATAGAAGCCTACTGCTAGAACACCATCAAATTTCAACAAAGAAAAAAAAAATATGTGGTGGCATGCTTAGAGTAGAAAACTGAGCCCTGCCTTTCACTCCCCTACAGAGCTGAAATGCTCTCTGTCACTCTCTGTCTCTTCTCTCTAAATGAATGAGTGAGTGAGTGAGTGAGTGAGTGAGTGAATGAATGAATGAATGAATATCCAAGCAAGGGCACTGACCTGTGTTCTGCACTGCCATGAAAATAGACAATAATTGGGTTGCCATCATGAAGGGCTGCTTCGTACCAGCAACGGTCCTTCCCTTTAGCATCTTCCCCCCGGCAGCTGGGAACTGTGTGCCTGAAGAGCAAGAAAAGTTTTTAACAAACATGGACAGAGAGAAGAGTTCTCTATCCTCGCCAAAGTCTGAAACACTCCTTATCTCAGTCAGATAGATAGATAGATAGATAGATAGATAGATGATAGATGGATAGATAGATAAGTTTACATAAATAAATGTTTATCTAAGTAGTATATGACATGCACATGCTAAACTATAATACTACAAAGCGTCTTATAATGAAAACCACTATTGCTCTACCCCATCTCCCCCATGTACAGAGACAACTCCTTTTTACCATTCACTGTTTTAGTTCTTCTGACTCCCACACCTAATGATCTTCCAACACTGCAGTTCTTGGGTTCAATCCATTAACATGCAGTCCATTGAGTGGAACCAAGTAAAAGATAACAGATATCTGTGCATGCTATTGGTTTGGCTGAATAGACAAGTTGGAAATAATTTATAGGGAAATCCGTTTAGGTGAGAAAAAAGAACTATCACATGAAACTAAGCTATTTTACTCAAGAAACCCAGTGACTGTGATTTTTAAACACCTGTTTGAGCTTCAGTCCCTCCACCTTGTTAAACCAAAGAATAAACCCTGAAAATATAAACACTGCCATGTGACATGTCATAAGGTGACTTGGAGAACTGGCCACATGATGACAAGTCCTCAGTCCTCTAAATCTTTAGAGGCAGAAAGACTCACATCAAACCCCAGGGCCTCTGCACTGAGAAGACAGGTATCACTGCCAGCAGGAGAGGCCAACTAGACAGTCCACTCACCAAACCAAGGATCAATGGGGTTAGGATAAAGAATAAAAAGATTTTCCAACTCCAACATTCTTAGCCTAACTGTACTCGGTAGTTTCGGAAGAAGTTATGTGAATCTATATTGGTTCCTAAACATTCCATGATCACATGTTTAAATTCGAGGAGATGAAATATAAATCAGCACTGGAAAATTGGCAGCCAAGAACAAGTAGTAGAACCAAACAGAAGAAGATATTGAGATTAGCATATTTAAAAGGCAATAGAATGCTCATGACTTTGTTTGACAAATAATGAGTGCCTTCTCCGTGCCAAGCACTGTGCTAAGCAATGAAAACCCACCAACAGGGTCACCTATGAAAGATATAGTCTTGGTCCTGGCCAGGTGGCTCAGTCGGGTAGTTTCGGAAGAAGTTATGTGAATCTATATTGGTTCCTAAACATTCCATGATCACATGTTTAAATTCGAGGAGATGAAATATAAATCAGCACTGGAAAATTGGCAGCCAAGAACAAGTAGTAGAACCAAACAGAAGAAGATATTGAGATTAGCATATTTAAAAGGCAATAGAATGCTCATGACTTTGTTTGACAAACATTTATTAAGTGCCTTCTCCGTGCCCAGCACTGTGCTAAGCAATGAAAACCCACCAACAGAGTCACCTATAAAAGATATAGTCTTGGTCCTGGCCAGGTGGCTCAGTCGGTTGGAGCATCATCACATACACCAAAAGGTTACTGGTTCGATCCCCAGTTGGGGTGCATATGGGAGGCAACCAATCAATGTTTCTCTCATACATCAATGTTTCTCTCTGTCTCAAAATACAAAACATATACTCAGGTGAGGATTTAAAAATAAAAATGATATAGTCTTATAAGGAAAGACAAACACAGATAGTCACACAAACACTCCTTAAATTACAGTGGGAATAAATGCCATAAAGGACAAATACAGGTTGCCACTAACATATGCTTAAAATGGGGATGAGGAAAAGCTTCCCTGAAAATTAACAATCTAACACCCAAAGGGTGAGTAGGCAGTTAGTTAGGAAGAAGGCAGGAGCAGAAGGAGCAGAGAGATAGAAAGAATTGTTGCAGACAGACAGTGTGGCTTGGTACGCAAGGAGGCCGTGGGTCTGCAGTACAATGGAAAGAGTGGTTGGTGTAGAACAAGTCAAGAGAAGGGGCCAGGGCCAGGTCCCCCAGGCCTGGTGAAGGACCCAAAGCAGCACAACACCTAAAAGTTGTCACACTCCAAAGTAAAGTTCCTGGAAAGCTCATTGAAGCAGGTCAAGTATCAATACAAAGGGAAGGCGCATGGAGCAGCTCCCAGGTGCCTCCAAGGAACATCAACCTCTCCACCGGAAGTAGCACAGCACTGCTCACCCTTCCCCTAGTAACACAAAAACCAAGTCCATAGGCAACCCAGGGTCCAATCCCTGCACTCACCAGATTCCCAGAATCACCCCGGGTTCAACCTTGATATAGAAGTTCACTGTGTGGGGCATCTTTAACTCCGGCTTCTTTAAGTCCACAAGAAATGGCGCTTTGACTGGAAGGCAGAAATCATTATCAGCTCCCAGAATCACATTCAAGGTGTGTTTGTTTTTTTATCACAATCAAAAAAAGTAATTAGTCTCAGGGTAACATGTTTCTCAGTTGCAAGCTACTACACTAAATTCTTAGCAACATATTTTACCTCTATTTTTTGTAAATGACATGGCATTTTGTACATATGTGTTCATGATAGTTGTTTTCTTGCTCTAATTTCCCCTTTACCTGTATATAAAGTATAGTATTAGGAATATGGTATTTTGCTACCATAAATTCTGTTTTGTCAGTTACTAAGCTACTTACCCCAGCTTTATTCTGACCTATGGTTGGTTGGTCTATCCTTTTTCATTCTTCTATCTTTCTGTGTCTTTCGTTTTAAGTGTGTCTGATGAATATTATATATCCTTGAAACTTGTTTTCTGAATCCAATCTGAGATTCTAGGTTTTTTATTGATGAGCTTAAATCATTTGCATTTATTTTATATTTATATATATTTCAACCACCTTATTTCATATTTTCCATTTATTGGTGTGTGTTTTTCATTTTTTTTTCTCTTTCATGATTTCCATTTGGACAGAACTGCTTTTCTTCTTTTGGTTTAAAAGGAAAACATCCTAGTTTTGTTCCTATGGTAGTTACTCTTAATGGAAGCAAAGTATTTTATTTTATAAACTAGGACTAGCTTATAGAAGAATTGGCCAAAAAAAATTCTAAAGCTAGATTTTAAAATAGCACCAGTGAGTGGTAGCTCATAGTAGAGAATTTATTCAATCCTTATCCTTATCTGAAGCTAAAAGCAAAGGAGACCATTCCCCTAAAAAGGTAAGAGGACCTAGAACAGGTAATGAGTGTTCTGCTACTGTCAAGTGTTACTTTTTAAAGTGAAATGTCCAGGATAAACATATACTTGGGGACATGTAGATGAGAGTGTTACCCATGTACTAGAAGGACTATGTAGTACATTGACTAACACAGCACTCAGTCAAAAATACATGGGAAAATAGAGTCCCGCCATCAGTATCTCTCTCTCTCTCTCTTTCTCTCAATATAGGCAAGAAGAGGAAGTGAAAAAGAGAATACAGTAGGCAGTAAAACATTCACATTAACAGTTAATTTGAAGACGGAGCACCTTAATTGGAACCCTACCCACAAGGCCATGGTTTTCTATCTCCAACAGAATGCAAGGACTTATGCTAAACCCCAAAGCCAATAGTAAATTGATTTCAGACCATTTAACTTGAACCACAATTTTATAACTGACGTGTCTTCTCGTTGTGCCACGACTTTAAGGGCAGTGAGTTCCTTATTTGGGAAAAAAATATAGGCAAATTCATGAAGGGTATATACTTACAAAAGTTAAAATAAATTAGCATGTCCATCAGAGGAGGGAAAATGTGTTCTTTTAATGGTTTACTAGTAAAGCTGTTGTACTGAGTGGCAATTTTCCTTCCGAGTGTTTCACAGCATTGTGGAATAGATCTGCAAGATATCATGAAACAAACAAGGTATTGAAAAAAATCAGTCCCGGTTTTGTCTAAGTCATGTTTTTCCTCTTAAGGTCAAAATCAAATTTCAGAGACCAACACAAGGAATTACAGGTAACTCGACATTTAAGTATTTACAGAACTATATGTAATTAGGGCAGATCAAGACTGGGCAGGCACTAAGGAGAAACAGGTGAGGAAATCAATAGGGCAGGGCCACAACCAGCTATGAAAAAGCCCAAGAATGACAGGACAGGAGGGGAGGGGACACCAGGCTTATGCCCTTACTGTAGTCCCATAGAAGGACCCCAAAGTCATCAGGAACCAGGATTCAATTTAACAGTTGCCACAGTTTTTAATTATATCATAATTCAGTGCTGTATGTGTTAGCTATTATTCTTAGTCTAAAGCATTACGCAAATAATCATCAGAACCTCACTCTTCTGACTGGGTCTCAGGAAGAAATGAGCCGATAAGAGAAAACTCCCACTTCTGACATGACATCCCTGGTGAGAGGGACCACGAGGAGCAGGGTGGGGAGCGGGGAGGACCTGGAGGTCAGCTACAGCAGGGCTGGGGCCTGGTCAGGGGAGCACATAGTGGGGTCATGCATATTGTTTATCCTACTGTTCCCTGTGTCACAAGCCACCTAAACTGGGAGCCGTCAGCCGACAAACTATGATTTGTCCATGAGGCATGACTAATGTCACTTGGGTCTCTAGCCACATCTCTCATGAGGGTTGCGTGTCTCTCACCTTTGAGAAACAAGGGATAGAGGAGGTCAGTGTCAATGCCTCCTGTTTCCAGTTTTTGTCCACATCCCTTTCCCTACTGTGAGCAGTCAATGTAAAGACTGCTCCCTATAGTCAAACTGTGAGGTCAGGGGTGCTGAAAAGCACTTCTGATGAATTGTTTCCCCTACCCGTGGTCGGCAAACTGCGAGCCACAGGCGGCTCTTTGGCCCCTTGAGTGTGGCTCTTCCTAAGCCTTAGGAGTACCCTAATTAAGTTAATAACAATGTACCTACCTATATAGTTTAAGTTTAAAAAATTTGGCTCTCAAAAGAAATTTCAATCATTGTACTGTTGATATTTGGCTCTGTTGACTAATGAGTTTGCCGACCACTGCCCTAGTCTAACTGTAGTGCTTCCCTTGGCGTTCTTTCTTAATCGTGAGGGTGGGGAGGACCTACCTACCTATATAGTTTAAGTTGAAAAAATTAGGCTCTCAAAAGAAATTTCAATCGTTGTACTGTTGATATTTGGCTCTGTTGACTAATGAGTTTGCCGACCACTGCCCTAGACCAGAGGCAGAGAGAAGATAACTATCGTTACCTGTACTTTGCAAATGAGAAGACGGACAAATTAAGTAACCTCCCCGAGGTTACACAACCAGTGAGTGCCACAGCCACGTGCACCAGGTCTGTCTGACCCCAGAGTTCCGAGATGACCTCCAGTGAGCTGTCACACTCCTGGCGAGTTCATCTGGCCACCCAGGCACGCAAAAATGAGCCCCGGGGACAAGGTTGGTCTCTGGCAAAACTCAGCTCTTGGAGAAGGCTGTTTCAGGACCCTCTCCTCCCATTCTGCACGTTTGCCCCCTCTCAGGGTCCCTTCCTGCCCCAGCTTCCTCCCCACTTCCTGCGCCTACATTCTCAGGAGCCTTCTGATACCAAAGTATCAAAGAAAGACCTCTAAAAAAACTTCCCTCCAGTGTTAATAACTTAAAAGTCAGAGCGCTTATATGCCTTTGGAAGAGGCCTGGAGGGAGGTGATAATGATTTTCCGATGGATTTCCAGCAACTCTGCAGGGAGTGGAAAAGATAGGTGGGCGAAGGGTAATGAATAGCTCTTCAAATACATCAGACATAGGCAATTGCCTACTCATGAACCCAGCAAGAAAGAAATGAAAATGACTGTTGCATAATATTTTAAAATAGCCTCCATGAAGGTGGTAGAAAGGAGAGGACATTATTGTTCTGATTTTAAAGATAAGACATCAAAACCCAGAGAAGTCACTTTGAGCCACAGATCAAGCCAAACGGGCAGAATTGAACACAATCGGAATTCTGATGCTTCCTCCCAGCTGGCCAGCCCCAGCTTTCATTCTCCTGGCTCTCTGAACTCAGGCTACCCCGCCTGTTAGGCTCCTGCTAAGTTATCTTTTGAAAGTAGCGGGGTGCTTGGGAGGCCGAGGCAGTAGAAGGAAACATGTTCCTGTTTTGAAAGAATAATTCATACAGGACCCTTCTCTCAAATAGCTGAAGGCACTTCTGTGAGAAAGAACAGAGTGGCCGGACCCCTGGAGTAGGAACAGCGCTTCTTTTAACTAGGGGATTGTCAATTTGACTTCCCCTAGATCAGGAGGGATCAAAAGTCACCCGTGGCTGATAGACCTTATTTGAGCGGAGGATGCAGCGTCAGCCCACTCCCTGCTAATGGGCAGCCACATCAAACAGCTACCTCGATGCTCTGTGCTCCTTCGCCTGCCCTTTGATCAGCGGTAGCTGTAACTGCACAGCGTCCCGCAGGAGCCACAGGACCTCACTGGATGAATCTTACTGGAGAAACCTGGTGGGGCCTGAGCTGCTACAGGGCAAATCATCCATGCTTCATGCTCAGAGGTGTCTACCAACCAGCTTTGGGATGCCCAAATCTAATCACATTTGGCAAGACAACTATTCCAAATATGAAGGCATGCTACATATCCACCATTGGTGCCCATTCATTCAGCCAACATGCACTGATCGCCAAGCAGCAAGTGACATCTACATCCTCCCCTCTTCTTTCCTCCCTACCAAACCTTCCCCTCCCTTCCCATCCACTCAAGTGTCCCTTCTTTGTCAAAGCCTCTCTAAACACATCTTCCTACGGCGACCTTTCTTCTCTTTTCACCCCTTCCACAAATTATAATCGGAGCCTTAATTGTTGTCTGATTGTTTTTTATCATTAGCCCTGACTTCCCAACTCTATGCCAGGCCCCGGACAACAAGAACCATGTTGCTTGTATTACAAGCCTGGTAATGCTTCTTTTACATTCCACTCTGGCCAGCACAGGGCTGAGCTCCATAAAGATTTGTGGAGCAGCAGGTTGAAACTGAAATAAAAGGTGCACAGCAAGCCCTCATGATGTGAGCTGACCTACAGTAACCGGCTCTGAGAAACCAAAGCAACCCAGGATTCTGGGTATTGGTCTGGGCCTCAGCCTCAGCACATGTCAAGTTAGATCAGTCATTTTCAGCTGAGACAAAGAATGCACTGCTAGTATTTTATTCCTTCAGGAAGCATCCCTTGAGACTTAGTTTTTAGTAATTAGTAAGGCAAGTTGTAGAGGGTCCCCAACTCCCCATCTCCATTCCATTATCAACAAAGTGACTTGTTCTCTAAAAGCAAGAACTGCAGCTTTGATTCTCTGCCAAATAAATGTTAACCCATCAGCCATCAGCATTACAGAAAGCACTAAGGAGAAAGTCAGTAAATGCAAGTTTTCCCAGAACAACGGACCATATCCGGGAGATGAGGCCCGTGAATATGAAGTTTGAAAAGTGCTGTCAGGCCCTAGCTGGTCTGGCTCAGTGGATAGAGCGTTGGCCTGCAGACTGAAGGGTCCCGGGTTCGATTCCGGTCAAGGGCACATGCCCAGGTTGTGGGCTTGATCCCCAGTTGGGGACATGCAGGAGGCAGCCGATCAATGATTCTCTCTCATCATTGATGTTTCTCTCTCCCTCTCCCTTCCTCTCTGAAAGCGATAAAAATATATTTTTATAAAAAAGAAGAAAAGGGACCAAGATGGCGGCATAGGTAAACGCTGGAGTTTGCTGCCTCGAACAACCACTTCAAAAATACAACTAAAAGATGGAACGGACATCATCCAGAACCACAGGAAGGCTGGCTGAGTGGAAGTTCTACAACTAGGAGGAAAGAGAATAACATACCGAGACTCAGAGGAGGCGCAGTGCTGAAGTGAAATACTAAGGTGCGAAGTGCATGTGGAGCAGGCTGGCGGTGGAGGGCGCGGTTGTTGTTTTCAATGGGGAGGGAGTTTCAGACTCTGAGCTCCAGATCCGGGCGAGTCTCTAGGGACCCAGACTCAAACGGGAGAAGCGGGAAGGCAGCTTTCTCTCCGAGGTTTGCAGCGGTTGCAGAGCCGCTGGGGACGGAACTGAGAGCAGCCATAACTGCTCGCTCCGCCGGTCCTGTAGATCCCCTGGGACCCGCCCCGCCCAAGCCCTGCACAGAAGCATTTGCCGGATAGCCTCAGGCAAAGGCTAGATTAGCACCGC